AAAGGGAAGGCAACTGGGACTCAAATCAACGATCTGGAACAAAAGGAAGAAACAAACATTAAACCAGAACAGAATGAAGAAACAAGAATAAAGAAAAATGAGGAGAGGCTTAGGAACCTCTGGGACAACTTTAAAAATTCCAACATCCGAATCACAAGGGTGCAAGATGGAGGAGAGGAAGAGCAAGAAAGTGAAAACTTATATGAAAAAATAATGGAGAACTTCCCCAATATGGCGAAGGAAATAGACATGGAAGTCCAGGAAGCTCAGAGAATTTGGATCCAAGGAGGAACACACCAAAACGCATAATTGCATTACCCAAGATTAAAGATAAGGAGAGAATCTTAAAAGCAGCAAGAGAAAAAGAGACAGTTACCTACAAAGGCGTTCCCAGAGGACTATCAGCTGATTTCTCAAAAGAAACTTTGCAGGCAAGAAGGGGCTGGAAAGAAGTATTCAAAGTCATGAAAGGTAAGGACCTACATCCAAGATGACTCTATCCAGCAAAGCTATCATTTAGAATGGAAGGGCAGATAAAGTGCCTCCCAGATAAGGTGAAGTTCAAGGAATTCATCATCACCAAGCCCTTATTATATGAAATGTTAAAGGGGCTTACCTAAGAAAAAGATCAAACTATGAATAGTAAAATGACAATAAACTCACAACTATCAACAACTGAACCAAAACAAACAAAGCAAACAACTAGAACAGGAACAAAATCACAGAAATGGAGATCACATAGAGGGATATCAGTAGGGATAGGGTTGGGGGAGGGGGAGAAAAGGTACAAGGAATAAGTATAATTGGGAGGTATAAAATAGACAGGGGGAGGTTAAGAATAGTATAGGAAATGGAGAAGCCAAAGAACTTATATGTATGATCCATGGATATGAACTAAGAGGGGGGAATGCTGGAGGGTGTGGAGGTGCAGGGAGGAGGGGAATAAAGGGGAGAAAAATAATGGGAAAACAGTAATATCATAATCAATAAAATATACTTTAAAAAATAATTTCTTGAAACAAACCTGAATGACTACACAGTTATATTTAGAAAACAGACATGCAAAAAAAAAAACAACCCCTAAATCCAAAGCCAACAGACTATTCTGCCTAATCTACTACAGAAAGTGAAACTATAAAATCTAATTAAGTAGTAGGGTATGGATGTAAGAGAATCTGAGAAACTATCATATAAAAAAGCAGCCAGATTAGTAAAAAAAAAAAAAAAAAAAAAAAGGCTATAGAATTTTAAATGTCATTTTATACTCAAATTACACACAGTATTTTATAGGATTATAATAAAACAACTAATACTAGTCTAATAATTAAGGCCACTTCAGGGATTGGTAATGGCGTGTTGGAATTAACATATCAATTATGTACACCTTTTTTAAAGTTTATAACTAAAAGTTTATAGTTTCCTGAAAGCCTAAAACATCTATCTGCTTCCTTTATAAATAGTACAGAAGCAACTTCAATCCAACCATTTTAGGAATTCGAGAATAGTAAAAAGTTAACTTTCAATTGAAATGAATCCTCTGAAGGAGACTACTCACCTGTTTCTGACATGTAACAGATACATCAAATGGCATATAGGACATTAACTTAACATTATGGAACAGCTACGTTTATTTTGTATTTATTTATTTATTTTTAGAGAGCAAGGAAGGGAGGAGGGGGGAGGGAGGGGGAGAGAGAGAGAGAGAGAGAGAGAGAGAGAGAGAGAGAGAGAAACATGGATGTGAGAGAGAAAACCTGTTGCCTCTCGCACACACCCTGACCAGGGACCAGAACAGCAACCTAGGCATGTGCCCTGATTGGGAATCGAACTGGTGACCTTTTGCTTTGCAGGACAAGACCCAACCGTGTCACACCAATCATGGGGGAACACTTATGTTGGGAAACACCCTATCTGGTTTCAGGAACTGTAACCCTGCAGACAGGCTGGAGGGTCCCAAGGCTGGAAATAATCAGAAGGCCTTGGAAAAACAGGCTCCAGAGGAGACTTGGCCTGTCCCCCCTAGCAGGGGCATACCTCATGCCTCTCTGCCTTGCCATGGAGGATTGGTTAATCAAGGACGAGTAAGTTACCTCCGGCTAAGGCATATTCCAATCGATTATTGGCAGCAGACAAGAAATTGGGGGACACAGAGAAAGGGCAAAAGGGCCCACACCTGTAGGCTCGGCTTGGACGTGGCTGGAGTCCTCATTCTAGCAGAAAGCAGTCTCCTTGTCTCTTGGCGGCTCCCTCCCCCTGCCTGGTTAGGCTTGAAACAACACAGGAATCAGCCCTAAACCAGATCTGGAAGTTACCTGGGATATCAGGCCTAAAAGTAAATTCTTTAAAGTGTGCTTTGTTCTTCCCTCAAAGCTCTAGCCACCTCATGCTGGGAAGGAAATTTACATCATTCACAGACCCTACCCCTATACCCTTGGGCACTCTTATGTTTACTAAGCTCTCAAGTTTAGTCATCTCTCTTGTTTACAAGTCTCCTCTTGGACCCACGTAAATTGGTGTGTTCCTGCCATTTGTTTTCTTCAAAACATCTGTGAAAATTAAGCAATGGGTTTAATGAGATAACCTGTGCATTCCTGTTAACCTAGTCCCACTGATAAGCTTTTCAATAAAAGCCTTTGGACAAAGGGACTCAGGTCCTTCCCCTCTAGAGGGAGGTGCCATGGGGCTTCTCCACTAAGAGGAAAGTGCCCACATCCACTCTCCCGGCAAACAAGAGAAGTGTTTGCGAGGATTTGTGTTCACTTCCTTCATCCATGACAACCCCCGAAGGGGCTCTGCAGAATTCAGAGCCCTGCTCCCACCTCAGCTGGCCTTGGACAATTTCCCTCAGATTCAGGGAACGCCGCGCTGCCGCAGCAAGCTCCATCCCCCCAACACAGCAGTGTGGATCAGGACTAGCAGCGACCAGAGCAGCTCTCCACACCTCCCCCCACCTCCCACAGAGCAACACATTTACACTTATAAGTCAGGCCCTGATACGATAAAAACTAAACAGTCTCCTTTTTCTAGGAGCTTAGAGTAAAGCAGGAAAACCACTTATGTAAATAATCTCATTTCACTGTAAAAGAGCTGGAACAAAAATAGATTCAAGGAAGGCCTCATGCAATAAAAAACTGGCATATTAAAAGATTAAGAGGCTTCAAGAAAAATGATAGGGTAGGAGTAGAGAGAGGACAGTTTTGGCTGTGAAAACACAAAGGGACAACATATTTGATGCATTTGATGTTTTAGGACTGGGGAAGTGGTTTTGCTGTGGGTGGAAATTAGGCTCTTCCACAGGATCACAAAGAAAGCATTCCAAGGGCCCATGCATGGGAGATTGTGATGTGGATTATTTGGTTAGAAATAGAGCCTAGCCCCTGGGTTTCCACTGTCCCAACTCCACCCATTCAACCAAGGAAAAAGTCCAATCTCGCCCTCAGCAAGGCCAAAACAAAAGCCAGTGTCAAGATTCTGCTTCATATTACAGCTTAGTCCTTTAGAGCCCATGTATGTAGTCTGCCATGGCCCCAGGAGCTGCTAGACCCACATGCTTGACAAGAGAGAATAGGAACCAACAAATTCAGGTAACCAAGCAAGAGTGAGAGTGAGAAAGAGAGCGCGCGCTCGCATGGGAGCACTAGCACGTTTCCTGGTTCTCCTGGGACTGCATTACCTTGGGTTTGGGACAGACAGGTGCTTTTTCAAAATAACCAATCAATTTTCCAAGCTTTCACCAACTTTTGAAAGGTCCACAACCCCTTGTGAGACTAACAGGCTCTATGATCAAGCACCTCCCCCAACACCCACTAACAGTTCCCTACCAGAGGGGGAGGGAAGGAGGAGTGTTAATCCCCTCAGCAGAGAAATGCTACAATCCCCTGGGGTGTGAAGCTGTAGCTTCCTGGCTAAGCAAGCAGGTTTGTGCTCCTAGTTTGTTAAGCTCAACGTCTAATTCCCTTTGTTCTCCTTTATTATTAATAATTAGTTACTACCAATGGTAACAGTTTTATATGACTAGTATAGGGAGAGGAGAAAGTGGTTGAGAAAAATGTTGGGACTCTTGGCAATGGTGACTCAGAGATTTTAAATTATTCAAATTTTCAAGTTATAGCTACAAGCAAAAATCAGTTCTGAGGTGCTCACTGTCCAGCATTAACATAAGTGTTTTCTTGTTGTTTCAGTGTCCTCTATATACAAGAGATAGGAAGATTTCCCAGATAAGTATATGAGGAAGTACAGGGAGTAAAACTCAGATATTTAGATTAGTTTGTCCAAAGAACATAATGAAGACCTAAAAAATTCAGGCTTTAAGGGTTAATGAAAGGAATAATATGTTTAAATGTATAGCCTAAAACAGCAATGCATAAAGAATGAGACAGTAGATCTAGTAAAAGGATACTGAAGTAGTTAAGAAAAGAGCAATGAGGTCTAAAATTTGCCCTAAACACAGGAGAAAAAGAAAAACAATCAAGGGTGACTTCCCAAGTATTAACGACAACTTGGAATACTCAAGCTAAGAATAGATTTTAGGAAGCTATGGATTGACCATCATATGAAACATGCCTAACAATCAAAAAGATGTAGGACTGAACATTAAAGGACAGGATCTGAAGAATGAGACACCATGAAGACAGAACAAAATTACACAAAAATATAAAATTAAGGTTGATCTACAGTTTCAGAAAGTACAACCTTGTAACTTAACCCTTAATATTCTTTGCAATTTAAAGGTCCCTTGATAAATAAGACTCATCTATCTATGCATAATACAGAAGATGAATGTTTAAAACCCTGATAAAGAATCAATGAGCCTCCTGAGCCGGTGGGGTCTCCAGAGAAGGCGCATTTCCACGTGCCAAGGCTATGGCACCATTGCAGCTGGAGACAGAGCAACAGGGAGGGCCTCCCCATTCCACCGCTTCTGCCCACTGCTTCTGCGGGCCTGGAGGCTCCCTGAAAGCACCAAGGACAGGGGCGCTCACGGAGAGAGGGTCCTTTACCTCAGGCAGCAGCAGGAGGAAGGACCTGAAGGTGGATCTGAACGGCTTGAGAACATGGTGACTCTGCCTCTTCGACTGGCCTGGTAGATCAAGGTTGCAATCCAGGGTCCGCCTCAAGCCACTGGCAGCGGGATGTATCCTGAGGCCCAGCAGGCTTAGAGCTCCCTGTGCAACCACCCAGGCTCCATCTGCCTTGCTAACCAGACAGTGGGGACACAGTGGAGCGCGCACCAGAGAGGAAAGGAGTCCTCAGGGCACAGTCCAACCAACTCTGGCACAGGGTCCATCCCCAGAAGGGACCAAGCGTCCCAACTTTTGAGAGAGTTTCTCACCGACAGAGGCCATTGGCTCTTCACCAGTGACAGTGCAGGAACGCAAGGCTTGCTCCATGCATTTGTGACCCAGATCTCAGTGAGGGCGCTGGGGGGAGTGCAGCCTGAGGAGGGCTCTCTAGAGCGGACCATGGGGCCTGGCAGCAGCAGCAGTTCTCCAGTGACCATGGCTCAAGGTATGCTTTGTCACAACTACCCTCTTTTCCTGGGATAGCTCTCTTGATTACTGCTTATTAGTCACCAAGCTGGTGCAACCATTGTTGAAGTGCCTGGGAAGGGCAGGAGTGGAGTAGGGACTCTGGTGTCCTGGTCTCAGTCAGCCACACTGGGCTCAGCGTGTGAAGGACCGGCACTGGGAGAAAAGACAAATGCAGTTACAAATTTGCAGAACTGATTCCCTGCCAGCTCAGGCCCCCTGTGACTCAATTTTGCCACCCACTGAAGGCCTGGAATGATGATGACAACCCCAAAATGAAAGAACATGCTCAGCGGCAGGACCCTTTCTCCTTCCCTGAGCAGAAAGGCCAGGCTGCGAGGAAGGCTCAGATCAGCAGTCAGGCCCCAAGCACCTCCCTCACCCCTCAGGCTCAAGTACCTCTTCCCTTCCTGGGATTCTGCTGCCTCCTGCTGTCCTGCCTATTAAATTTCAGGTTTCTTCCTCAGTCTGGTTCATTCACAGCATCCTACCCTTCAAGACTTCTCTTTGTGCCACCCAGTTTGCCAGGAGAATCATGACCCTCTTCGTCTAATCTTAGGCCCTGACTCTACTCTGTAGAGTAGGAATCCTGAATTTGAAACCTGAAGACTCAGGTTCAAGTCCTTGCTCCACCATTCACTATGCAACAATGAATACTTTTCTTGACTTCTCTGAACTTTACTTCCTTTTCTGAAAACAGATCATGAAGAAAACCTGTGTGATGTTCAAGTGAGATAATGGAAAAACAATGCACACTAAAAGGAAATAAGCTAGAAGCTCAAAAAATATAAAAAAAGAAAAGGGGCAGGGGAAGAAGAAAGAGTCCAGTTACAGACTCTTTACCTGTGGTCCCAGTTAAAGAATCCCTGTAAGGATGCCCCAGCTCATTGCTATCTTCGCTCTTTCCAGCATCCTGACAAAATAATGCACTACATACCCCAAAAGAGCTCTACACAACAGAGTTAGACAAACATGTTTAACACAATCTAGAATACATAAATTTTCTGTGAATTATGGACCCCAAATCCTAAGTATGTTACACCAAGGACTTTGAAACATCTTCATAATAAACAGTTCAATTAAGACTGCCATAAAAATCAAAGTAAACCATTCCAAAATATTTTGATTGTGAAATAAAATATTTTCTAATTGTGAAATAGAAATCCCATCACATCATAAACAATACATAATAACCATCTCTTTCAAAATAAAAAAAGTTAAAAATGTAATGAATAAGACAAAACAATGTGTTCAAATACATGCAGATATTTAGAGCATTTTTTTCTAAAATTAAGGAAAAAATAATAAAGAACAAAAATATTAAGTTTGTTAATGTGCCAATCTTATTGCTTCTCTTGAAAAGGAATACCTGTTCCATGTGGTCTTAAATCTATGGAACTCCAACACAAACATATACGCCAAGGTTACTATTTCCTATAGAGCATCAACCAATAAAAATACGTCATATTTATTTCTGATCTTCAGTAGTTGGAAAATACTTAACATTAGTCAATGATAGACAAATTCAAATTTTAATAAATTTTAGATTCTTTATAAAATTTCCAAGTTGCTTTGAAAATATGTCTCAGAATTTGAGAGCTTAATTTGAGAAAAATAGCTTCTTCCTGGTAAAAATATTGGCAAGCTTTCACACTAAAACTTATTTTTAGCCCTGGGTGGTGTGGCACAGTGGATTTAGCCAGCATACAAACCAAAGGGTCACTGGTTCCATTCTTACTCAGGGGACATGCTTGGGTTTTGGGGGCATGCAAGAGGCAACCATTCACATATCCTTGTTTCTCTCTCTCTCCTTCTCCCTCCCTTCCCATCTCTCTAAAAATAAACAAGTAAAATCTTTTTAAAAAGGGAAAACTTTGATAAAATGTCATCTTGATTTGGCAAGGTTGTGGGTTTGATCCCCTATCTGAGCACATACAAGAATCAACCAATGAATGTGTAAGTAGACAAACTGTGTCTGTTTCTTTCTTCCTTCCTTCCTCCTTCCCTCCCTCCTTCCCTCTCTCTCCTTCTCTCCCTAAAATCAACATTAAAAAAGGTAAAACTCTGAGTAAGTGGTAACTTAGTCAACAACTACAATGCCCTGGCTTTGATATTATACTATAATTAGGTAAAATGTAACCACTGGAGGAAGTTAGGTGAAAGCAATGAGGACTCAAGCAAAATTAACTTTAAACTATTATAATTTGAGCTATAGTAAATATCCACCAAATAAGCTTTCAATATGCCTAATGTTTCACCTCTGACAGCATATACAATTTACCAAAGGGGACTAATTTCTAGCCTAAGATGTCACTGTTTGTTCAATTTTATGTAAGTAACTTTTCCCCCATTCATAAAAATATAAAATGGGAGTTTATCTGTTCTATCTACCTTACAAGATCAAAATGATCAAATGAAACTTCATTTTCATAGCACTCTCTAACATTACAAACACAAAGAATATTTCATTTTATTAAAAACCTAGTTTTTAAATTAACTATCCATAAGGCCATGTTATACACATACCACAGTTTATTACCCAACACAGAAAGATTCAAACATTAAACTATATTTAAAAAGCTATAAACACATCAATTATCTTCTAATAGTCCACTCAACAATTCCTTCCAATGTTATAGTAATCTTTGTTTGAAAATTAGATGAACATGTATTTCTAAGTTGCTCTATGGCTAAATGGCAAAACAAGATAAAAACTTTCACTGTGCAGCTAAAAACTTTAAAATCTTTAGACATAATGATTACCAAACCACTAAAGGCAATTCTCCTTTGGAGTCAAAAGATCTGCAAATGCTAACTAAAGAGCTATGCAAATTCACTAAAGTCCAACAAATCAGAGAACCAATAAAGAATATATTTTAATTAACCGGTTAAGCTAAGCTATCTCGCCTAAAAAGATGTTTCTAACAAGTATTCCAAATACATCTTACAAGTTTCTTACAGTTAATTCTGAGGGAAGAGGAGAAAAATAGACGAGCATCAAGAGGCCGAAGTTTTGTGAAAAAGCTTTATAGAATCCCTGTAAACATACTCATCATTCCTAAACTCATTTGTACTATTATAATCATTCTTAAATTTAAAGTTACCTAGTAAAAGAATCATTAGAGCTACTCCTCAAAAACAAACAGGCAAACAAAAAAACTCCATTTAAACAATATGGAGTTTTATAATTCTACAGAAGTACAAATTCAACCTATATATTGTATGTTCACTCTTCTGAGGTCTGGCTGTCAGCTGCACCTTTAAAAACATGTCTCAGCTGTAAAAAACAAATTTAATAATTGTGCCTTAAGATTCTGGCTTCTGGTTATTTTTAAACAAAAGATTATAGGATTTGCAGATAGATCACAGAATACAAATAACTTACTTCCCCTTAAATTACAATAGATAACCTACCTGCCCTTTAATAAATCCTAAAGGATAAAATCTCTAGCTTTCTAGGAGTGACAATCCTTCTCATTCTCCACTAACTTTTCATTGTATACCTTAAAGTCCTTTTTTGTACATTTCTTCTAAACTGTCACTTTTCAAGGAAATCCAAGGTGCCATGAAAGAAATCTAGCAATTACTGGAAACAAACAAACAAACATATCATACAAGTTCTACCTTTGTTTAACTTGCTTTGTAAAATACAAGTTACAAATCATAGCACATAAGCTTTTAAATTAGACACCTACTAGAGTCATTAGATTTTTAAAAAATTCTAAAATAATAACAAATTTGAGATTAAGTCAATAAATAAAATAGTAACTTATTCTTACATTGTTATTTATACATGCTGACTTTGGATAATGGCTTAGATTTTATATATGTGAATATTTATATATATTTTTATTCATATTTAAAGATAAAAACCTAAGGATATACAAATGCCTGTAATAAAATTATACATATGCACTTTTAAAAGCTTAGTTTCTAACACATTTAGCAATAAAAGAAAACACCTAGAGTCAAAATCTAATTACTAAATATCTAAGTATGAAATGAGGAAAGAATACCACTTTGTATCTTTAAAAAACAGAATTAATATCAAAGATGCACTCTGAACTCCAGAATGGAGATATCCTATTTTATGGTAGTCATTTTCCTACAAAGTATAAAGGAATATGTCAGTCAAGTACATTAGAGATTGTACAAATAGGAGTGGAGTTACAATATTAGTTAACAGCCTTCACAGGAAGACAAACAGCTAAAAAGTTAGAAGGTGAGGCCTAACTCAGCAAATGACAGGATCAGAAAAATAAGTTTTTTACAAATGGAGCTAAGTAAACATAAGCAAACAGATACAAATAAAAAGGAAACTAAAGGCTAATAAGAGGTACCTGGCATTCCCAATGGAAGTAAATTAAAATCAAAATGAAAAAAAGAGGAGTAAAGAAAAAGTATCTACAGCACTAACTCTCAAGAGTCAAAGTCTTTAAGGACAGCTTCAAGGGCAGGATCACATCTTCTTTTTACTTCCAGGAATACTACCCCATTGTTGGCAAACTGTGGCTGCCCATGGTTGTTTAGTAAATAAGCAACAGAATGTTCTTGGGATTATTTCACCTATAAAATAATTTCATCAGGCATGATTCACTGTAAATGTACATCAAGTTCCCCAAAGCACCTAAACTTCTTCCTGAATTTGAGGATAGATAATACATTAAGCAGATCATAATCACTAAAAGAGAACCTAAGATACTTATCTAGAAGGAGATGAAGCGTCACATCCTACTTTGTCACATCACCAAATTTTAAATATAAAACACAGTACAGTACAAATTGTACATACCTTCCAAAAGCTAAAATTTGAAATGAAAACCTCTATAGAACAGTGATTGATAATGTATCATTCAGACTATACAAAACACTACGTTATTTCCTCACGAAACTGAAAATATTAATAGTTTAAGTAATTTTGCAATCAAAGAACTTCTAGTACTTTAAAACCAAACTCTCCTTCTGTTACTTGCAAACAAAAATATGGTTTATCTGCATAGGTAACACAATTCAACAGAGAACTATACTTTCCAGTCCCTCTCAATGAAATCTCCTCACCATTAATTTTCTCAACCCAGTAATTATGTACAGAGAAGACCAATATTTCTCAGTATTTGATCACACTGAGTAAAACTGATTTCTATCGTAGGAGGCAAAACCAGAATATTTTATAAAAGTAAGCAAAGTATTGAGAAACTATTTGACAATCAGAGGCAGACCGCCACATGGTACTCTACTGGGTTTCCTTAGAGGCTTATAAAAAGCACAGTGTTGTATATTTACCTAAAACATATTACATATTATATAATATATCATAATGGGAAAAAATAGATCTCTTAATTACCTTAGTGAAACTATTTTGTTCTTCAAAGCATGCTTTAGACATGAAATCTAATATTTTGGTAAATTTGGGGAAATTAAGTGTGAAATAGTTATTGAGTTTATTTTTTCTCAACCTCCTATCACAGAGAGCTAGAGGCAAGGTCATAACTGAAGGGTTCCAACATTTTAAAAAAGAAATGAGGATAACTTTTAAAAAGTTGAATATCTGAATGAACACAGAATAAAAGACCCATAAATAAGGTCCAGGAAAATATGGAAGTTTCCTTTATGGAAAAATATCCTGCACTTCTCTCACTGTTAATGAATAAATGCATTCTCTTATTATCACCTCCTGGAGTCCATGTTTAGATGCTTGGGTCAGAGTCAACATATTATTTCTACAGTAACTTGTTTAGGAACAAATAAATTGATAAATTTTCATAACATAACTATACGGCAATGACCACAAGCTAGAAATATCATTGCCACCTATTATTGTATATAAAACTGTTAAAAAATAAATATATATGTGAAAGCTGCAACAAAAAAGCTACTCACCACCAATCCTCTCTCCAACTGTGAATATGCACACTTTTGGCCTTACTGCGACCAGCACTGTCACTATATTTATTTTCAGAACTATCAGATCTCCACCTTTTATTTGGTGGTGAAGGCTCTACGGTGTCTCATGTTTTCTCATGTCTGATCACCGCTACTGGGGTGACACTTAGATGAATACTTAAGAGCCTGTAAAACATCAGCCCTCCCAAAAAAGAGAAAAAAAAATTCAAACTTAAAACGTAGCTTCCTAAATTCATTTTATCATAAAATTTGGTGTTTTAACTTGACTAAATTTCATGAATTTATCTCAATAAAATTAAAATTTCCATTTTCAATAATGCTTTTAAATCATTCATACAAAACCTAAATGCCTAAGAGTTACTACGAAGTGCCTCATACAAATCATAATACCTTAATGTTAAAAGTAAAAACATGGAACTGCCTTTTGATCCAGCGATTCCTCTGCTGGGACTATACCCTGAGAATCCCAAAACGCCAATACAAAAGAACCTATGCACCCCAATGTTCATAGCAGCACAATTTACAATAGCCAAGTGTTGAAAGCAACCTAAATGCCCATCAGTAGAGGACTGGATCAAAAAGTCATGGTACATTTACACAATGGAATACTACGCAGCAGAAAGAAAAAAAGAACTACTAAACTTCGCGACAGCATGGATGGAACTGGAGAGCATCATGCTAAGCGAAATAAGCCAGGGGGCGAACGACAAATACCATATGATCTCACCTATAAGCAGAACCTAACCAACAATGCAAAGATGCAAGGAAAATATGACCAGCAACACTGAAAGGAAAAGAAATAACAAAGACAAGAGGGAAGGAGGGAGGGGGGACAGAGAAAAGGAGGGAAGGGGAAAGTCAAGGAACATATTGCAAGGACTCATGGACAAAACCAAAGGGGAAGAGCTGAGGGAGGGAAGGAGGGAGGGGGCAAGGGAAAGTGGTGGGGGGGGAGGCAGAGACAAATGTATTTAAAAAATAAATAAATAAATAAGAAAAATAAAGGAGACAAAATTTGAAAAGATTAAAAAAAAAAGGTAAAAACAAACCTCCAGTCCATAATCTTCAAAATACAAGAAATTAAACACAGTGGTACTTTAATTCCTCAATAAATTTTTCTGGGAATTAAGTTTAATCTTAAAAAAATACAAACTGAGTTCTATTGTAATCTATTTCTGGTCTACAACTGATGCAAAGACACAAATATAATAAGCTTAAGTATGTTTCTAGAAACCTACCAAAAAAGAATCAGTTTCTCTAATTCTGACTCAAAAAAAGCAATTTAAACCTACCTTACCTACTCCGACAGACATGGGGAAAAAATTTCAAGGTATAAGAAAGGTTGGCTGATATTGCTTCTTTTTTTAAAGATGTTATTTCTTTATTTTTAGAGAGAGCAGAAGGGAGAGAAAATGAGAGAATGAAACATCCATGTGAGAGAAACATGGATAGGTTGCTTCTTCTACGCGCCCCACCCAGGACTTAACCCGCAACTCCTGCAGGCCAGCAACCTTTCTCTTTGAGACAATGCCCAGACAACCAAGCCACGCTTGTCAGGGCTGTTGGCTGACATTTCTAACATAACATAATGAAACTTAATGGAACAACCTCACAATAATGATTTTTATCCTAACACATATTTAAAACAGCCATGATAGACCACTCATATATATGTGTAATGCATTATGTTTTAGAGGGGCAGATTCAACAGGGTTTAATCTGATAGTCAAACGTCATGGACAATGGTTTACACATCAGGGGACCTAGGGTTAATTTGAGCTGTAACTCATGCCAGCCAGGTAACAGAACTATCAGTTTAGAAAACTTCTTTACTATCTGCGAAGTGATTAGATATAAAAATATTTACTTCTGGTGTCATCTGATAGTTAACAGCCATTTATGAGAGTTTTTTCACCTTGAAAACAGGTGCCATCTGTATAATTTTTTTGAAACTTTACATGCAGCTGAAGTGACAAAAAAGGGACCTGCACACCAACGACATTAGAATGAGTTATCCAAGTGTCCAAAGATCTCAATTCCTACAGAAACAAAAGCACTCTCTAAGGCAACTATTTGAAGAAAAAACAAACCAACCAACCAAAACAAAAACACATCCCCACCCCCCCAAAAAAATTAAATCGAGAAGGGATAATGGTTTACATCGCACCGAAGAGATGCAAATCAATTAGTTGTTACTTCCCAGGCCTTATTTTAATACCTAAACATTAACTTTTATTTCCCCAATACAATAAATACATGTGGTTCAGAAGACACCTATTATCTCTACCCATCGATTCTTTCATACTCAAATAACCGAGTCAGTCAAGTCCTTTCTGGCTGCGAATGATCCTTTCCTTTAAAAAATGAATTTCCTCCACTCATCTGTCAAAATTAATCCTTGTTGGGGAAAGCTAATGGACCCAAATACAGCATTGTAAAGGGGACCAGCGGTGTTAGTTTACAATCTGTCGCACCGAAGGCTGAGCTCGAGTACCAGGTCCTCTGTCCCCGCATCCACCCCTCCACCCGGGCCTTGACTGGTACCTGGCAAGGCTGCGAGTCCCTTCTTCGGTCATGACAGCTGAAAAGCAAGAAAGACACGACAAGAAAATCTCCAGAGGAAGGAAGAAAACGCCCCAGAGCGGCCCTCCCGCGGGAGACCCACCAAACGGAATCCGCGGTGAGCCCGCACACGCACACTCACCGCTTTTAAAGGCCGTGACGAGGACAAAACGCCGCGGCCCGGCCCTGCGCTCCTTCCACCCTCGCTGTGGCCTCGCCCGTTCGCGCTCCGCTCAGCCTAGTCCCCAGCGGGGTTAACAACAAAAATGGCGGCTCCGCCAACAGCGGATTAAGGAGCTACAGCAGCCACGCTGCCGCCCCTCGCGGCCCAGCCTGAAACGAAAACCCAGTTTACCCATCACTGAGTCTCTGCTGTTTCCTCACGTACGTTAACTTGATGTGTTAACCTATGCGCAACCTGGGAGTGTGTCGGGGAGGGGTGAGCGCAGCCCCAAGCGGAGGGCAGGAGGGCGGGAGGGAGCACAGGAACCAGGGTCCGCCGCTCTCTCAGTGACTCTCAGCACCTCCCCGTTACTGGCGCCGCGTTCCCGGGACAGCTCCCTCCGTCCAAAACACGCTGACTCAGCCGGGCGAGAGGCACCACCTACCGCCGAAGCAGCCAACCTGCGCCTGGGGGCGGACGACAAGACGCGCCCTGCTCAGCTCCTCGGAGAGCGACTGTCTCCTCGGCCTCGTCCTCCTGCTACGCCGCCTCCCGCCTTCCTCTTCCCCAGCCGCCTCGGCCCTTCTCTTCCTCCACCTGCCGACGCCGCCGCTCCAAATGTATTCAGGCAGTTCCGAGGCTGCGGCCTTGGGCAAACCTCAGCAATTTCCACCGCGCCGGTCCTCTGCCACCCTTGGCGCTCCTCTTTGCTGCGCGACCTCCGCACGCCGCCTGCAGCAAAACTCCGCTTCTTCTGCTTTTCCTCTTCTGAGGCCTGGCTCGCTGCGTCGATACCCGTCAGTTCTTTACGGTTGTCGCTGCTTTTCCTGCTGCTCACGCAGTCACTGCCGTCCCAGGTTAAGGACACTCCTGCCTGGCATGGGGTGAGCTGGATGGAAGCCGTCTTCTGGCTTGCGGTGCGGCGCCAGAGAAGCTCTCTCAGACTAAATGAAGACCAGTTGCGGCGACTGTGCCTGCACCGTGGTGGGGGGCAGAGGCTGGGAGGGTGCACTGGGGGAGAGTTTGGGCACTTTATTCAGACAGAGGGCGTCTGGGAAGACTGTAGATTGTGTGCCCTAAAAATTATCTTAACATCTCATCTCAAGCCTAGCTTTTTATAGGAAGGATAGGTAAGGAGTTTCAAAAAAGGTTAATTAGGCAAAGGGTTGCAATCCAGGGCAAGTTTCCTAGTATTTCTTTACCTTCTGGTCAACAATTCTTTATCCGTGAGTCAAACATTGCCTCCCTGGAACACAATGGCTCAGGTACCTTCTGCTTGCAGACCCGGTGGGGCACAAAGGTTGAATTGTTTGCCTTGCTTGTGGACCTCCTGGAGTCACATAGGTCATGTATTTCAGTTCCTGAAACAATAGCTTTCCGCCTGCATTAATCCCTTAAGCCTATCAAATATAATTAAATCTAAAATCTTAAACTCTTGAGTTCCCCTATCAGATCTAACTCTGTGTTGTGTTCTGTTGTAGTCTGAAGCCCCCCACCAGGTGTCTTGGTTCTAGGGCTTCCTTGGATAGACTGCTGTATAGGCCAGCATCATATGTTGCCTGTGACTGGCCTTAGTATGCCTTTTAGGAGCTACAAAGTAATCCACAGTTGAAAGCAGCCTGTGGTGGGTCTAGGTGTGTTGGTGGGAGGGACCAAGCTGTGAATCAACTATGGCTGCCAACAGTACCAGGTCTGGGGGAGGTCAGCATGAAAAACCCGAGGTGTTCTGAGACCTGCCATCACCTGACAGCTGACCACAAGGCTCAGACATTAAAAGAGCCTCAGACAGTTTCAGACAGTACATGAGTTTTGTGAAGGAGATTCTCAAGAGAGTCACCAGGGTCTAGCGAGTGGTGTTCACCAGGTTAATACAGATTCAAACTCAGTTTCAGTGCTGGGTCTGAAGCCATTCATCAAGTCTCAGGGTACACGAAGCTGCCACCCTTCTGGAACCTGCAAACCCAAGCAGTGGCACAGGGGCCTCAGGATTTCTACAGAGTGGAGCAAGTAGAGTTCATGAGGCTAATGCAGACTAAGATTTGGCTGTGTGAAAGCTGGGAGGGGAGAACTGGATGAAAGAAGGTGAAGGGATTAGCCAAAGAATATATATGTATAAACCATAGACACAGACAACAGTGTGGTGATGGTCAGAGGGAAAAGAGGGGTGGGGACTGGGTGGAGGTGCACAAAGCAGAGCAAAATGGGGACGTCTATAATAGCCTTGACAATAAAAATAAAGAAAAATAAACTATTAAGAAAAACTTGGCTGTGTGGAGTGAGGACTAAACCCAGGAATGATGGCGCCTGTGAGCTGTATGGGAGGATGGCCCTTGCCTTGAAGCCACATATCTCAGATTCACCCACTGGCCTTGACCAGAATACCTCAGGAGTTATTCTTTTTAGACAGTCTGTAATGCAGGCCCAGGCTGGTTGCCACTGAGCGAGCTTCAGGTGGTATGCAAATTGGGTAGGATGGGGCTTTAGGGAATTGTCAGGGTGGAGTTGGTGTAGTTCATCAGGCTAATGTCGCGTGGCAGAAAGGACTCCACACAGGAAAGTTGGCCTTAGTCCACCATGCTGGAAGTCAGCCCTCACCCTGAAGCCACACAGCTCAGTTTCTCCCTGTGTGTCTTTGGCACCCCCCGAACTTGACAAGTACTCTGACTCTGGTCATGTGTTAGTAGGGTAGGGTGGAGCTAGTGTACCTCAGCAGGCTAATGCCTGTCTGGGGAAAAAAACCTAACCTAAAAAAGTGACGCCACCTTGGGCAGGTGGCTCAGTTGGAGCATCATCCTGTACACCAAAAGTTTGCAGGTTTGATTCCTGGTCAGCGCAAATATCTAGGTTAATGTTCCTCTTTCACATTGGCATCTCTCTCTCTTCTCTCTCTGAAATCAATAAACATCCTCACCGATTTTTTAAAAAATGTTTAAAAGATAAAAACCTGGCATCTGTGGGGCCATGGACAAGGAGGATTCAGCACAGGGAAGTTGGCAACTGTTCCATCAGCCCTTGCCCCAAAGCCACACCACTCAGTCTCTTCCTGTATGTCTCTGACTCTCCCAAGCCATTGTTCCTTTGCTGGAGCCCAAGGTAAGTACCTGCAAGCGTTTGTTTCTTGGCCCTTTAAGAAAGCCTGGGTTTCCAATAGCCTTCCATCTCACTTGGATGGACAAAATCTCTTTTATTTTCACTACCTCATACTATATGGATTCTTATTGCAAGCATTGGTGCTTTGGGCTGGGGAGCCCAGCGTGCAGCTAAGACCCCTTGCTTTTCAGGAGGGACCTCTGCTGCTGAGATATCCCTCCAGATTTTCAACTGCCACTTGTAGATGCCAGGCAAGCCTATATTTTTGTTTTCACTCTTCTTACCAGTTTCAGTGAGGTTTCGTCTATATATCCTTAGATAGAGGACTTATGTTCAACTGGCCTTCAGATGGTTCTACAGGTTGCTTGCTCTATAATTTAGTGGGAGGAGGTGAGTGCAGCTTCCACCTACTCCACCATCTTGAGCAGAAATATTCTAGTTTTAACTTGAAATATCTAAGAGAATGTGACTGTAAAGAGTATTGAAAGTTTAAAAGAGTCTGATTTAGTAAACTGGTATGTTTAGACGTTGATTTGTAATAGTGCTTATATCCTAAAGATTTGTTGTTATTTGTTTTGTTTAGAGTGTGAAATGCTTGAAAATGTTTGACATATTGAATTTATGATTATGGTTTAAAAATTTAAGGGAAATTACTTATATATGTTTGGGAAAGATTTAGGTAAATTTAATATTTCAATATTATAAACTGAGCATTAATAGCAAGAAGAAACTAAGGCAGGTGTTTTTACTATTTTAATATAAAGTATTGTATAGTTGTGTAAACTAACATTTTTAAGTTGAGCTTAAGTGCTTATCAAAATTTTGGCTTTTTATTTTAAGTTTAGTAAATTGAATATAAATTTAAATACAATTAACAGGTTCTCTTTTAGCCTATTTAATGTTTAAACTCTTTTGGATTTCAGGTTACATACCTTTCTATAATGAAAGCTTCTGTATGGGTTGTAAATGCATTGGGCTGGGAGTAAAATAAAATCAACAGTGGCTTGCCCTAGCTGGTGTGGCTCAGTGAATTGAGTGCTGGCCTGTGAACCAAAGGGTCACCGGTTTGATTCCCAGTGTAGGGCACATGCCTGGGTTGCAGGCTAGGTCCCCAGCAGGGGGCATGCAAAAATGCAACCACACATCGTTTCTCTTTCTTCCCATCTCTAAAAATAAATAAATAAAATATTAAAAAAACAAAACAAAACAGTGGCTTAAACATGTAATGGGTTTATTTGTCTCACAAAATAACAAATGCAGAGACGATATAGTAACTTAAAGATATTTACATGGACCCAGAATTCTTTTATCTTTCTGTTTATTATCCTGAGAGTGTAGAGTGGCTTTTGTCCTTATGGTCACTAGATGGCTGTTATTCCTGAAGTTATTGTACCAAAATTCAGGCAGAAAGAAAAAGACCAGGGACAAACAGCAAAAAACAAAAGCCTTCTAGTGAGAGTTTTGTCATTTTTACTCAGAAAAAGATAGTGTTCCCCTGGGACTTTTGGCCAGAAATGTGTCACATGGCCACCTCTGGCTACAACAAAATATTTGCTCTATGTAGAGTAAGGCAAAGGAGAAGGGAGTTAGAATCAGTGCTGAATGAACCAATGTCTCTAATTTCTATGACTGGATTAGATACCCCTTTTATGTGCCTCATATTTTCCTGTAAATGAAGACACCAACTAGAATAACCTAAATACTATTGTATAATCAGTGCAGGTTTGAAATGTATTAGTGGATATAAAAATGCAAAGAGTGTATTTTGCCTATTATTTTGTCCTACCTTCTATACTGCTCATATACACTATAAAAGTGACTAGATTAAAAACTCCTTGAAAGCAATATATTGCATATATGATGGTTGCCCAGCACCTTTTCTTAAGGAGCTTGCTGCTGAAAGAAGGGTCCTCAACTAGCAGCTTCAACATCAGTGAGCACCTTGTTAGAAACACAGAATATCAGACCTTTCCCAGATCTATGAATCAGAATCTGCATTTTAACAAGATCTCTAGGTGATTTGTTGGAACATTAAAGTTTGAAAAAAGTACTGCTTTATGGGATCAAGTTATGCCAGCTCACCCTCTGGACTTTCCAGCTACATGAGCCAATACATTTCTTTTGTGCCTGAACTTGTTTCAGCCCTTTGCAGTTGAAAGAGTCCTGACGGATCCAGAGAGTAACCATGTATTATTAGCTGCTGTGTTCTCTAGAGTGATTCATACATTTTTGTTGAATTTAATTTATAATGGGATCAATCATCTGTTCATATGCATGAATCACCAAAAAAAAAAAAAAAAAAATCAAGAACAATAAATGAATTTCAACTCTCATGCTAACCCAGGTCAATTGTTAGCAGCTCCCTGGCCATTCTCATTGTGTTGAGGACTGTAGATTAGCATAAGGTCTCAACAAGAAAGAATACACTTACTGTTGACTGATAGTCACAAGCTTTGGGCATGTGGTGACACGGATGCCACCCTCTTTTCTCAGAGGCAGACTCACATTTCATAATGTAGTTAGCAGTGGTGGTTATGGTCAGGCCAGCTCCAATATTGTTCCTCACTCACTGATTGCAAAACTATTAAGATTTACTATATTTCAAGCACTGTACAGGGTGCAAGGATAAAGTGGTACAAGACACATGTGGTCCCCACTCAGCCAGAATTTATTGTCAGTTGGGGGAGACAGACATTAAATAAACATTAAATATACAAATAACTACTTGAATGACTACTAAACTGTGATAAAAGTTTGAAGGAAAAATACAAAAAGTTACATGGACATGAAATAGGTAAAGTCTAAAGAGCAGATTGGCTTCCTTGGATAAGAAGATTTTTAGCTGGATTTTGAAGGATGAGTAAGGAGTTAGCTCAGAGAAGAGGCAGTGTAAAATTGTATCAGGCAAAGGACAGCTTGTA